GCTTTGGGCCTTGGTTTGTCGCATCTGCTCCTCTCAATGTTGGGTGGAGTGATTGTCGGGGTGATTGGACGGTCATGCACTTTTCCTGGGTTATCCTCTACTGTCTTGTGGTGGTCTTTTATGGTGTCTCTGTTCGGTGGGCTCAGGAGTGTTCTCATCAGTGACAATGTATTTGTTGGTCATCTTCCACATCTTGACTAAGTTTTGTGGCTCTGCAAATTCGAGGTCGAAATAAAACCTCTCCAACCTCACTCCTTGCATCAGTGCGGTCTGGGTCATGTCAGGCTTCAAGTCCTTGACATCTAATGTTTTGCTATGGAAGCGTGCGATAAATGACCATAGGCTCTCATTGGCCCCCTGCTTCAGTTGACATAGAAATTAGGCACTCTTCTTAAGCCTCAAGGCACTGATGAACCGCGATAGAAAAAATCTATTGAACACCACAAAACAGGTGATTACACCCACGGGCAATTTTTCGAACCACCATAATATAGTCGATCTCAGCGTCATGAAGAAGAGCTTACACTTGAGGGCATCTGAAATTCTTAACAATCATGGATGACTTGAATGACGTGAGGTGGTTGTTGGGATCCGACCGACCTTTATACATTCTTAAGACCGGCATCTTGAACCTCTCCTGGGGTTCCACTTCAAAGATATATAGGGAGAAAGCATTCTTCGGCTGTCACTGTGCCTCAGTCCGCACTGGTTGGTTTGTCTCCTCCACAGGGGCAAATCCGGCGTTGTCTTGGTATAAACCGTCATCGAGTTTTTCCTACAGGTGGATCACCCTCCTTCCATTGTTGGTTGGCATTTTTCTTTTAGGGGGGTTGAGTGTTCTTTTTCGTGTTGGCTCTTCTGTTGGAACTAGGGCCGCTACTAAGGTAGTGGCAGCCTTAAAGGTTTCTGCAAATTGTTCTAACATTTGGTTGGTGATCTGAGCTCTTGAATTATGTAAGCTTTGTTGAATGAATTCCTACATAAACTCTCGGATGCATGTTGCTTCGCCTTTGTTCGTCTAACTAGACTCTCCTTGTTTTTGTTGCTAAACTCCTCTTCTTATTGACGACATGCTTCCACACTCACTGCACCCTAAAAGATGTTGGATCCAAATGTCTGAAAAACACACCTAAGGAATGGAACGTTCAATTAGAGAGCAGTAGTAAACAGACAAAAAAGGGCATATTATGCATACCCCTATTTATAGATCTAAATTCCAATATTACAAAAGTACATTTTAGCTCCCTCATTATTAATTTTTCAGGGAAGCTTTTGGGTAATTATAAAGTAATTTTTATATAGTAAGACTGAGGGCCAATTTGATCGGTGAGAGTTGCCGATCGCCTGAAAAGCCTTGATTCGATCAATATATAGTTCGAAAAATGATCCCCGTCTATAAACCTGAAGGTTGATTACCGCCCTACGGGGTTTCTCCTGGATCATTCTGCCAATCATTCGAGTAAGGTGCATCCTTCGTTGATACACGTACAGAAACGCTCCTCAAAGGCTACGTTGCATTCGATTGTCTGCAATTTCATCCCGAGCCGCCCATCTGCTTTGATATTCGTGTTGACATATTTTTATGTATACAAGTACATACTTTAATTGCAAAAATAAAAAGATTCCCTTTTTATACTTATATTTGTCTGATAGTTTTCTTTCTATTTTAAAATGCATTAAAATGATTTTTTTTTTAAAGCATTAGGTTTTATCTGACATGATAATATATTCATACAAAAATAATTTTCATCTATGTGTGATGGTCCCTCCTGTTCCTCTAATATAAACCCCCCTTAGGCCATCATCATTTCTCAAATAATGAAGGTCTCCCTTGAGCTTCTTTACTTGGGCTATATTTCCTTTTGAGGAAATTTAGAGAAATGCAAGTGCGCTTTCCTTCATAAATGATTTGCAATTAGGTGTTTAGATTCAATGCTACCAGTAAAAAAATTAAATTTATCTGGGAAATATAATAATCTCTATTCAATTGTGATGAGAAAGTGTGGGAGAAAACTTTTCTAGGCCAACTGAGCATTTGCTCATGATGCCTAAATATCAATCCTTTCAAATTACGAATTCCCTTCTAACTTGGCACAATCCTCACATTTGTTTTTTACACGCTATTAATAATATCATCCCTATATCGTCATCGTTATTAGTATCACAAAAATTTAGATGCCATTTTATAAATGCAGCATAAGGATTTTTCAAGAGCGGTATTTTTTTATTTTATATTGAATATTTGAGTGTTATATATGTAAATATAAAGCTTTAAATGTATATATACTTAAAACATTTGTTTGGTATGTATGTAAATGCCAAAATATCAAGGACTTTTATGTATATATCTTGCCAAATTTTTTTTTAATAAGAAAAAGTTCTTTCCAAAAAAATTAAATAGCAATATTAATTTTTTCTCACAAAATTCATAAATTTTGGAGTTAAAATTTTTAATAAACTTATACGTTTCTTTACGGGCCATTTTTCTTAGCTGCCTCCAAAACTATACAGTTAGCACAATTTTGCGTCTTATGGTCTGTTTGAGGCAGCTTATTTATAATCTGCTGATAAGTTTTGTGCGGTGGCTATTAAAAAAATTTTTTTTTTTGAAAAAGTCAAACCATTGTAGAAAAGCTGCTACCGCGCCTCTGCTTCCCGTGTTTTTTCAACACAGAGAAAGGCAGATTGCTTGAGTTGTGAACCCGAATCCAACTCCGGATAGCCTGACTGGTTTTCCTTCTTTTCTTTCTGGGGAATGTTTGACTCTAACATCGGGTTATGGCGAGTCATATTCCTATCTCAATCTTTTTCTCACAAGGCCCATCTAGAATCTCTCTATCATGGTCTCGGCTTTGGCTAAAGCGAATGCTAATCTTTCCGGAGTAAGGGTTTGAAACTTCTTCCCGTCGGAATCTCCACTCAGTCTAAAAAAAAAAAGTGTTTGGTGACCTAACTGAAGTAGCAGTTTGATGAAACAAAATGGCATTCCATTTGATTCACTCTTGGGCGCGATTCCTCCCCTTTGTTTTCTCTTGAATAAGCTTCTTTGTCTCAAAAAAAAGGCGCTAGATTTTACGATTTGCTTGGTCTTTTCTTTTTATCTGGAAGAAAGAGAAAAGAAAGGGAGTCCCATCTTTTTTTATCCTCGCCTTCTAGCTAGCAAGAGAGACAGACAGTCTCCAATCAATGCCCACCTTACTCCTTAAGAAGTGATGGACATTGAAAAAGCACGGAAAACGCTGTTTTCAGCGTTTTCAAAACGCATAAGCTGTCAAAACGCACCAAATAAGCTACTTCAAACAGACCCTAAAATTAGCGGGAAAAAAAAAAGATAAAATAGAGCTAACAATTCGATCAATATATAATCTGAAAAAATGACCTCTGTATATCGTCCTGAAGTTGATTTCCGCCCTACGGGAGTTCCTCCTGAATCATTCTGTCAATCGTTCGGGGGAGGCGTATCTTTCGCTGATACTCATTCGGAAACGATCGTCAAGGCTACGTTCATCTGCATTTTCTTTCCGAGCCGCCCATCTGTTTTGAGATTCATGCAAATATATTTTTATGTGTACGACTACGTACTTTTATTACAAAATAAAAAGATTCCATTTTTGTATTTATATTTTTATAGTTTTCGTTCTATTTTAAAATGCATTAAATTGATTTTTTTTTTTTTTTAAGCTTTAGGCTTTTTCTGACATGATAAGGTGAGTCTTATTGTTGGTCGCTGATACATTCAGACCAAAAATAATTTTCATCTATATGTGGATGGTCCCTCCTGTTTAATATAAACCCTTGAGCCGTCATCATTTGTCAAATAATGAACATATTACTTGAGCTTCTTTACTTGGGCTACATTTGCTCCGAAGAAATTTAGAGAAATGCAGGTGCACTTTCCTTCATAAATGTTTTGCAATTAGGCGTTTAGATTCAATGCAACTAGTAAAAAATTAAATTTATTCGGGAAATATAAATAATTGTTTATTTTTTTCATAAACAGTCTCTGTTTAATTGTGATGAGAAAGTGGGGAGAAAAATTTTCTAGGCCAATCGAGCATATGCTGTCATTCCCACGAGAAATATTTACGTACGGAGAACGCACACAGCTCTTCATGCGTAATCTCCTCCCAATAATTTCTCAATAACCTTTGCGAAGGTTATTGGGGGGTTATTGTGGAGTTATTTTGACGTTATTTGGAATCAATACCCTAACACCAGAGAAAATGTGAAAGTGTAACCGCGGAGAGTGTTGACTCGAAATAACTCCGCAATAACCCCCCATAACCTTCGCAGAGGTTATTGAGAGAGTATTGGGAGAGGATTACACATGGAGAGCCATTTTATAAATGCCATTTTAGATGCCATTTTATAAATGCCATTTTAGATGCTATTTTATAATATCACAAAAATTTAGATGCCATTTTATAAATGCAACATAAGGATTTTCAAGAGTGGTATTTTTTATTTGATATTGAAGATTTGAGTGTTACACATGTAAATATGAAACTTTAAATGTATAAATATTTAAAAAAATTGTTTGGTATGTATGTAAATGCCACAATATCAAGGACTTTTATGTATATATCTTGCCAAATAGAGCTAACAATTCGATATTTTCTCTTAAACAAAAGTACCATGAAATAATTCCTCGACGTATCTCAAGGTTGAGGACAATAGTTAAGATCATACTTTGCATAGTCTGAAATTTTGCATGCATGCCATGCAGTTCTTATATATTTTTGTACCTATCATCTAAACTTTCATACTACTATACATAACATTCAACTCGTTAGCATCACATCAAAAATAACAATCACTAAAGCCCTCACCCACATAAGCATATAAATCTGCCCAATTTACAAATCAATTTAATTTGGAGATACTTACATACACTTAACTTGAAACATTGCTATTTACAAAATTTGCACTTGTTGTTGATGATGAACATACCATTTACTTCTTATAAACTATATGTAAATAAAATAATACACATATCGGCGCATGCATGAACACATCCAAACAAAAACATTGAAATAAATCCATTCAATTTATAAAACCGAAAAACCGTCAAATCTTTATCTAGAAATTCAAGCTCCACGCGTAATGGTTAGCCCTACTGAGCATAAGCAGAGATTAAAAAAAAGAAATGATAACATGTATATGTACAGAGAAAATTTGAGCATCGATATTAGAATAATGAGTCCGACAATTATTGATTAGTTTTTGATGGGCAATGTAGTGCTAATCAGTTGATAACTAGGTTGAATTTAATTCAAAACAAATTTGATGGCTATAAAATTCATTATAGCCAATAAATTTTTGAAATAAATTCTACACAAATTCAAATGACTATTAAACTCATTCTAATATCGATGCTCAAATTTCCTTCTACAGAATGATTGAGCTGCTAAACATTTAGAAAAAAGAAAGACCACTAAACAACGCGTGTCGGTAAGGCATTGCGGGGATATACTGAATGCAGACAGAAACCCCGGTTTTCTGACCAAATAATCGATGACGTTTCAATATCATCTGATTATTTCGTATAAACGGCAAAGAGATGGCTTATGTTTAAGAACCGCGGCGTGGCTCCAGACACCCCAGCAAAGGCTCATTTAAATCTGGTAATATGAAATTAGGCTTTTCAGGTTCCGCTTCAGCCGGGGCTCTTTGCGAGCTTGCCTGCAAGAGACAAGAAGAATTTCAGGTCAAAAATCAGAAAAATTAATTCATCAAAGATTGCTTTGGAATATATAATGTAGGTGATTGACAGTGATTGGATCTAATTATGTGCGTTTCAATCATAGGAGGTTTTATTTTGCTACAGTTTTTGGAAGATTTACATATATGACACTTAATTCCAATGCATTTACATGTCTAACAACTAAATTTTAGCTTTTACATGTATGTCATCTTAGAAAATGTGTATATCACTTTTTAAAAGTAAAAATAGCGATAGTTTTTATGTGATTAAAGCTTGGGCTGGTATGTAAAATGTAGATTATAGGTGTTTGATACATAAACATGTACGAATTGGGTAGACCCCAACTCAGCTCAAAAGCGGATCGTTCAAGCTGATGAAAATAGATCAGACAATAACAATTTAGTTTACAAAACACATCAAACTAATAACTTCCATGAAATCCACGTTTTCAAAAGAAAGTATTTCTGTCTCAGATTAATGCACTTAAATGCCATATTCTGCAGCCATTTTTACATGTGTAAAGAAGCTGTGTTGCGTCATATGCAGTCAATATAAACCAATAACACTGAACAAAATGAGATGTCAAAATGAAGAAAGACGAGAGACAAGCCAACATAGGGCATTGATGAAGACGAGAGCGAGTCTTTGGCAAAAGTAAGTGGACATCCAAATATAGATTCTTTTTTTAAAATTTTGAAGTGCAGTAAAATGAAAATTTATCCAATTCTTTTAAGCCTTAGGCTTAATCTGACATGATAAAGCAACTTTCTTTTCCTGAGAATTTATCTGAGATATAATTAATCCTCACTTTTTTATCAATCAAATGAAGTAGATAGATATCTATTTGGCAGAACAGCATTAAGCCAATGAGTGTTACCTGGTCACTAATATATTCATATCAAAATAATTTTCATCAGTGAGGAGAGTAATTCATAATTCTCAAGCTAGTAGTAAGTGTTTCTCTATATTAGATTGCTCTCTATTTTAGCAATTATGTTCTTCTGTTCCTCTAATATAACCCTTGGGCCATCATCAATTGTCAAAGAATGAAGTTCTTACTTGAGTTTATTTACTTGGGGTATATTTGCTTTGAAAAAATTAAAGAAATGCAAGTGCATTTTACTTCATTAATTATTAATAATTAGGTGTTGAGATTCAATGTAACTAGTAAAAAAACTAAATTTATTTGGGAAATTAAAATAATTGTTTTTTTTTCTTCACTGAGACCCACTTATGTACATTTATGATTTCTCGAATCAATTTTTCTCCATCATATATTAATTTACATCGAGTTTGGAGAAGTAATTAATAATTCTGTACCTCATAAATATGTACATTCTTGAATCAATTTCTCTCTTCTCCTTCATGAAAGAGGAATCATTTATGATCAACTCCATCAAAATTTAGTGGCTTGTATAGTTGTATTTCACTAGATCTCTTTATAATGTATGAAATGGGTAAGATTGGTCTTATACAAGGCAGCTCCAAACTTGTGACTTCCTATGTGGAATTCCATGCCAAATATATCTTCAGAAGGCAATGGCACCACATAGGCCACATTTATTTTCCCAGCAATTAAGAAATGAATCTTAATCCGATTCATACAGTATATTAGCGAATTCTAGGACTCTGTTGAACATCAGAGTGGCCAAAATCGTAATTTTTAGAACAATGAGAATATTTTTTCAGATGCGAGAAAATCCGACTTATTTCGAATCATATATAAATCCAGCTAAATAAAAAAATCCACCAATGACATTTATTGGGGAATTCCAAATAAAATCTCCTATTAACCAATCAATGATAGGAATTCACTGACAAATCCCGATCAACGCAGGTAAAATCGCAATTAAAAAAGACAATAACTACCATCACGACGGCCTAAAGACGCACAATCAAAAGTCAGTAATTTAAACGAAGAAAGGCTTAAATGAGAATCCCAGAGGATGGAGCTCTACTCACCAACTCGCTCAACAACCTCTGGTTCTCCGCAATCATGGCCTCTCTTTCAATCATTTCTAATTCCAGTATCTGCCACCATTAAAATCAAGTTTCATCAGTGACAAATCTAACAACAAGCATAAACACACAATTTAAAAGAAAAAAAAAAAAGCAATCTTTTCTTTTCAAATCCCAACCTTCGTAAGCCGTTGGTTGTCCTCCAAGAAGAATCTCTCCTCCGCCTGAAGCTCAGATTTTGTCTGTTAAAAATCAGCTGAAACCATTCAATCAAACAAATAAAAAACTATGAATGGAAAAACAAGAAGGGTAAGTATGGGAGCACCGCTAAACCCACCTTCTTCCTACCCTGCCGCTTCATGGGCTGCGCAGGGCGGTCTTCCACCATCGATGGCGGCTCAACCTTGCTCACCTGAAACGACGAAAGGGAAAACAGCACGTGAGTCACCTCTACCGTCTGTTTCGAGTTCATCTATCACCGCCACGTGGAGGTGGGAACATGGCCACTAAGAGAAGAATTAATTTGAAAAAAAAACGGTTCACGCTAAAAATAGGCGTACGATACCGAAAGTGGCGCATCGCATGATAGGAACGCGACCGAAGTGGACTCGGTCTCGTTTCTCATCTGAATCAGCCACCTGGGCCGTCGATGCAGGTTTTAACCACCGATCCATATCACAAACCAACGCTCGTCACCAACTCGCGAAAATACACCGGATTACAAGAGTAGCGAAGAAGAAGATTCGTTAATCAATGGCCACCAATAATCGTAACAGCTGAAGGCTCCGCTATTTTTTAATTTGCCAAAAAAAAAGGGCTTTTGTATATCGCACACGATCTCATGTAATCAAGGATAAATTTTTTATGTATAAAAGTTTAGGTGTGAGATATTTAAATACATAAGAATTGTGTAGTCGGTATGTTTATTTCTCCCAAAAATAAAAATTAAAGAAGCCACGGAGAAAAATAAAAAATATATTTATAAACCAAATAAAAAAATTACCTTTTTAGGATAAAAAATTGGGGTAACATGAAGAAGAAGAAGAAGGAATGTCTTTCCAAAAAAAAAAAATCCCGAATAAAAATGATTTTATCACCAATTCAAAATTAGATTAACATCGCAAAATCTCAGCAGAATTTTTCAAATAGGAATGTCGAACCCTTTCAAAAAAAAAAACCTGAGAAAAGGGCGGTTTATGCAACATTTAGTGACGACGACAACAACGTAAAAGAGAAGTAAAATAAAAAAATGAGATGCAAAAAGTGATATAAAGAGAGGCGATCTGGAAATTGAGATTTGACACCTTTATGTGTGAGCCAAATCCTTGAGGGGCGGTGGTCTCGCAGGCGCGGAAGCGCTTGCAGGGAGGGATCTCGGAGGAAGCCGGTAACCAATCCCTTCCGCTGGTGGAGGGATCAAAGCCGCGTCCCAAGTCCAGAGGCGTATCCGGACTCCGGTGAACACGAGACGCATCCACAGCACCCAAGCACTGCGGGCCTTCCATACGCTTTCGCTTCGACTTCACCCTATTACTAGATCTCTTTTGACGAACTCCCCATGTAGGAAGGAAAACAGAGGAAGCATTCTTGGTATTCATCACCGGCTTCACCACCGGAGGGAGCCGATGCTTCCTAAATGGGCGTTTCGTTGAGGCCGGCGGCCGATCTGGCGGTAGGCTAGCCCTAAGGAGGAGCAGCGCCTTCGCCACTTCAAGGAGACGATGATCTTCTTCACATTCCATTAGAGGAAGAAGGCTGACAGAGAGACAGAGAGATGGGGAAGGGGACGTGGGTAACGATTGGGGGAAAGGGAAGTGACGCGGGATGAGTGGAAACCCCATCGGTATTTATCAAAGCGTCGGGCGAACCGGATGAATCGGACCGTAGGCTTCTGGACCGATCCGGTTCAAATGTGAGTGTTTTGGTTTGATATTTTAAAACCCGCACATTAGGACGGCTTTCCTTTTTTAGAGAGGTGCCTGCGCGATCAAAAGAAGATTTAGCTTTCCAAATATAGTTCCTCAAATAAATAATCGGGAGATTTACATCATGAAAGTTTATTTTAATTTATTAAATTATTCAATATAAAAAAATTGAACTCATAAATTCATATATTTATGCTGACGTGGGATGAAATCGTTGGAAATTAAAGAGTGCAAATTTTGATTTGAGGATTTGCTTTAAATTTTAATTTTTTTGAGTGATTATTTGATAAATAGTAGAAGAAATGTAGTAATTAGAGGTTCATGTGATACCCTACTTAGTAGAAAAAATTAAAGAATGGGTGATAGAGGATAGTGGATGGTGATTGTTTGAGTTTGGAATTATTTGTTTTTTCGTCTGGTTCGCCCAATGCTGAGATAAATACAGATGGGGTTTTACTCATATCCCGCATCAATTCCCTTTTCCACAATCGTTTCCCACAACACTTTCCCTATCTCTCTCTCTTTCTCTATGTCATCCTTCTTCCTCTAATGGAATGTGAAGAAGATCATCATCTCCTTGAAGCAGCAAAGACGTTGTTGCTCCTCCTGAGCGCCGCCCTGGCTTTAGATCGGTCACCGGCCTCAACGAATCATCCATTTAGATCGCATCGGCTTCCTTCGGTGGTGATGCGAGTGATGAATATCAAGAATGTTTTCTCTGTTTTTCCCGTCCATGGGGACTTCGTCAAAGGAGATATAGTCATGGGGTAAAGTTGAAGCCAAAGTGTAAATGAGCCGAGCTCGAGCATGCCCAATGCTTGTTTGGCTCGTTTAAATTGTGTTTTGTTCATATTCAGCTCATCTCTGAAATAGTTAGTGAATTATTTGTTTATATTTGACTCGATTCAAACTCATTTTTTTGAATTAAACTCGTGTTCAACTTCAATTTCAGCTCTAACTAAATATTTAAAAATTATTTTTTTTTAATGTTTTTAGATGCTTAAAAAAGAATATATATTCTACTTCAAAAAAGCACATAAAAGAATGCTTAAACGAAGCTAAAAACTTAGGGAGCTTTCATTTTCTTCTATTTTTTCTTGATCTCCATGTCAACCTTCTGAAAATTCGGGCATTTACATGTATATCACCCAATTCTTATTTATGTACATATCTAATACCTAAATTTTAATTTTAAAAAATACGATGGGTATTTATATACATGCAACCCAATGCTTATGTATTACATATCTAACATCTAACTTTTCTTTTTTACATTTTTATGAACAAATTTTTTTATATCATTTCATTTATTTTTATATATTATTTATTTAATTAATTCAAGGTTTGTTCGTATTCAGCTCATTTATAAATCGAGCTAAAAAAATTTGTTCGTGTTCAGCTTGTTTGTTTATCGAACGAATCAAACATGAATTGTTCGCGAAGGCCTTTTTGACACTCCTTTTGATGATTCTCTTTTGATAGTTTGAATTATCTTTATTTGATAAATGAATTTTTGAACTTTAATAAATAATATTAAATTATGTACAAAACAATCATTTCTTGCATGTTCAATGCCTATCAATTAACAAAATTTTGCTCATTTATCTTCTATCATCTAACTAGTTAGATCAAATTCTATTCATCATTTATATTCTTATCAGTTCCAATTAATCAAATTTCCATTTACTAATTTATTATAGTCATTGTCATCTAACCTCCCTTTCATTCCATAACTGATAAGTTGGGTTTTATCGCGGACATATTATCAATTCCTCGAGCACAAAGTCAACCTTTTCGACATACTTAGGAAACCCTTGCTCATCAAAAGCATCAAGACATCCTGCATTGTTAATGCTAAGTTTGACCAATTGTAATTCCTTACAAGGACAATATCCAACTCTTTCAACTTAAGCTAGCTTCATTCAAAATCAAACTAATATGTTCATATTCATCTAAATTGTACATTCTCTTACTTTAAAATTTGAATGATTATTCCTCAACAAATAGAAGAGGAAAATTTTGGTTTATATAAGACAAATTGTTGCTATGTCCAATGATTTTCTACCAATTTTTTAAAATTAAATAAGTGATCTTCTATTTATCTCTGTGTGCCTAGGATTTTGCAGCTAAAACATCTTAGCACAAAGCTATGCTCCTAATTCTTATGAATATTTCATTCATGTAACATGCTTGATTATCAAGATTTAATGACTGAGAAGTGTCAAAGGAAATTGGCACATGCTCTCTTTTTGTTGAAAAACAATTATTTGTGTTAATGATAATTTATCAAATAGTTCAGTCGAATTATCTAACGTTATTGATTCACTTAAATTATTGTCATTAAGAAAATTAATGCTAAATTATCAATATTAGGGATAATTGATGTAATAAGTATTAGGTTGTTAGAATTCTGATTTTATATTATTCGTCTTAAATATTTCAACATTGGGAAATGAAAAGGGGCTCAGTGTCTTAACTTAAAGACTGTGCTAAACTGAACTTTGTTCTTCATAGACGGTGTCAAATTGTTGTGTGACAGAAAGTCCTCCGAAGTAGAGTAATGATTTATTATCTTAACAATGCACAAAAATTCAACGCACACTTAGATAATTAAAGAAAATTAAGCAAAAAGAAACAACTTAATATTTACAAGAAAACTCTTAGAAAGGTGAAAATATTACGCGGCCAAGCCTAGTTGAATAATTCATTATGAATGGTGAGCAGACAGGTCATATCTTCACTTGAGTTAAGGAAGGTTGAGTTATAATATTTATCATTGTAAATGTACAAGTGTATTTCATTGATAATACTCGTAGTCTGACTATAATGAATGTGGTTCTCGGTGATAGCAAGTTGCAAGGGTAGTAGTCGTTTACTATGAAGGCATTAATCTATCGTGAATATTATTGATGGTGACAATAGAACTGGGTTATCGTATAGGTCATGGTTCAAATTCCTGGTAGTTAGTCATATGAGTCACAATTGGTTGTTTCAGGAGTGTTAGTTGTTCATAACGGTGATAGTAGAAAGTGCAAGAGCCGCTACGTAAGGTGTAGTTGGCCACATTGACCGTAGTGGTGAGTTGCGATAACTTTGATAGGTTGTAGAGGCCGAAGTTGGGAGTTGAATGAGTTGTGAACAACTTAGGTTATATATGGTCACGAAGGTCATAGTGGTGTGTTGTGATGACATTCATAGGTTGTCGAGGCGAGATTTGAGAACTACATGAGTTGTGAAGCACATTGGTTATATTGGTGAGCTTTGAAGACATTCATAGGCTGTGGGGACTAGAGTTTGGAGTTGCACAACTTGTTAACTACGAATGTCGTAGTTGATCATGTTGGATAGTGGTGAGATGTGATGACGTTTGTAGGCCACAGATGTTGTAGCCAAGAGTTGCAAGAGCTGTGAGTCACATAGATGGTAATTGGTCACATATATCTTAGTGATGAGTTGTGTTGGTGTCTGTAGATCGCAAAGCCAAAGTGATGAGCTGCACGAGTTGTGGACCATGAAGGATGTAGTTTGTCATATACGATGTAGTGGTGAGCTGTGATGACGTATATAGATTCTAAAGGCCAGAGTCAAAGCTGCACATGCTATAGACCATGTAAGTCGTAGTTGGTCATATAGGTTATAGTGGTGAGTTGTGATAACGTAAGTATGTCACATGGGCTAGAGTTAGGAGGTCGATAACGTAAGTGATAACGTAAGTATAATTTGTTGGATATTTGATGCAGAATTGGCACTGTGCTTCGACTCCTTCTCGTGGCTCTTCTTTAGGCTCAAGTTGAGGTCCCCTCACAAAAGAGGGGTAGGATATTTTTTTATAAAATCTTGGAGATGTCTCTTAGCAAATTAGAAAGGAATTTGAACCGCTTCATTTGATACCTCGAAGAAATTCCCTTGATTGGATGGCGTTCGGTGAACATTTGAGTGCCTTAATGCTGTTAGAATCGAGTGATATTGGGCTCGTTGAATTCTTCTCACAGACACTCGATTTGGCTAAAGCTTGTCAGATTTAAAATTCGTTTGATCTTCCAATTATACATTGAAAGCTTCTTAAAAATGGTTTAATTGCTTGATCTAGGCTTGATTTGACTCTAGTTGGACCAATTTTAATATCATTTGGTTTGTCTCTTCAAGCCAGTCGTTTTGACTGTAAATTTGTTAAAATCGGAGTTCTTTATAATTTTTAATCAAAGTTTGAACATTTTTTGTTAAAAAAAATCACCTCCATATTCGATGATGTATTTAAATAAATATTAAATTATTGGGATAATTATATACATCACACTCGAAACATTATCATTTACAAAATCTAGAACTCTGATGTTATTTTTAAACTACTCAACTAACATATTTACACATCAAATCATTAAAAAATTCATAAAAATGAAAAATACGACTTGGCATTTTATCAAGAATTTTTATGTTTGAGTGTGAATTTAAAAAATAAATGGAAAAAGATATTATATTTATAAATAGCAATGTTCCGGATACCATGTATGTAAACCGCCCAATGTTATTTTAAAGCATTGGCACCCATTAATTATGTAATTCCTTATTTTAAATATCCAATTAAGAAAAAAAAAATCCCTTCTTCATGCGGAAAAATAATTCTATAATTTTTACTCATCAAGTAATTACTATTGCTAATATTTTTTTAATTTTAATTTTTAAGTTTTAGAGATCAGAAGTTGATTTAAGATATTCTGTTGCTAATTATTCGGCGTGGACTCGGAGAAGCAGGTGCAACTGACTCCCGATATTCTTGCACCCTTTAGCGTTGCAGTACGCTCAGGTGGTTAAGTCATAACTACTAGAGATGTTAATTTCGCTAGAAAAAATAATTTAAAATAAATAAAATGTATTTTAAATATTTTATTAGTAATTTAA